GTTTGTGAATGATTTTTACAAAGCAATCTTTTTTTTAACAATTAAAATACTCCACATCATGAGTTTTATAAATAGTTCTTTATCATTACTCAAAATGTTTGTAAAATGAAATCTTATTCACATGTTTTATAATTATATAATTTATAAGTATTTTTTTTATAAAAGTCTAAACTAGCAATATTTAAAAAAATATAGTTGTCAATGGATTGGTATTATATTTAAGTAAAGTTTTCCAAAGTTAATCTGAAGTTTCAAATAGTTGTATTATTCTTTTTCAACGTTGTGCTATAATATAAGAAAAGTCAAATTTCTGAATGATTATTACAAAGCAATCTCTTTTTTTAACAATTAAAATACTCCACATCATGAGTTTTATAAAAAGTTCTTTATCATTACTCAAAATGTTTGTAAAATGAAATCTTATTCACATGTTTTATAATTAAATAATTTATAAGTATTTTTTATAAAAGTCTAGACTAGCAATATTTAAAAAAATATAGTTGTCAATAGATTGGTATTATATTTAAGTAAAGTTTTGCAAAGTTAATCCTAAGTTTCAAATAGTTGTATTATTCTTTTTCAACGTTGTGCTATAATATAAGAAAAGTCAAGTTTCTGAATGATTATTACAAAGCAACCTCTTTTTTAACAATTAAAATACTCCACATCATGAGTTTTATAAAAAGTTCTTTATCATTACTCAAAATGTTTGTAAAATGAAATCTTATTCACATGTTTTATAATTATATAATTTATAAGTATTTTTTATAAAAGTCTAGACTAGCAATATTTAAAAAATTATAGTTGTCAATGGATTGGTATTATATTTAAGTAATGTTTTGCAAAGTTAATCCGAAGTTTCAAATAGTTGTATTATTCATTTTCAACGTTGTGCTATAACATAAGAAAAGTCAAGTTTCTGAATGATTATTACAAAGCAACCTCTTTTTTAACAATTAAAATACTCCACATCATGAGTTTTATAAAAAGTTCTATATCATTACTCAAATTACATTTTATATCACATGTTTTATAATTATATGATTTATAAGTATTTTATAAAAGTCTAGACTAGCCATATTTAAAAAAATATAGTTGTCAATGGATTGGTATTATATTTAACTAAAGTTTTCCAAAGTTAATCTGAAGTTTCAAATAGTTGTATTATTCTTTTTCAACGATGTGCTATAATATAAGAAAAGACAAGTTTCTGAATGATTATTACAAAGCAATCTTTTTTTTAACAATTAAAATACTCCACATCATGAGTTTTATAAAAAGTTTTTTATCATTACTCAAAATGTTTGTAAAATGAAATCTTATTCACATGTTTTCTAATTATATAATTTATAAGTATTTTATATAAAAGTCTAGACTAGCAATATTTAAAAAAATATAGTCGTCAATGAATTGGTATTATATTTAAGTAAAGTTTTGCAAAGTTAATCCGAAGTTTCAAATAGTTGTATTATTCTTTTTCAACGTTGTGCTATAATATAAGAAAAGTCAAGTTTCTGAATGATTATTACAAAGCAATCTCTTTTTTAACAATTAAAATAATTTAAATATAGTTGTTAATGGATTTGTGATATGTACAGAAGAGGACACATCATTTGGGAAAAGTTTTTGGAAAACAATGACTTGTATCAATTAAGTGGCCGCCGGTTGAAGCGAAGGGGTGACGATGTGCTTGCGCCAGATGAACAAAAAGAATTACAAAGAAGAGGAGGAGCAGCAGGAGAGATCAGAATAATTATTTCCTTATTGTTTGCATTCCGGTTCTCGCTGCCAAACGGGACTAGATGGATGGGTAGATAGAGAGATTCATCAATTCAAGTCGGACGGGCCGGGGTACACACATACATATATACATACACAGATTGAGAGAGTAACAACCTCACCCCAATCTTTATCGCAATCGTTATCGGAGCCACCCCCGTCCCCGCCGCTCTCCTACGGGACGCAGTTGAGCATCCCCGGCGGAGGCAACGGCACGTCCCCGCGAGAAGAGCGAATGGAATAGAAAGAAGGGGGACGCTTGTTGTTTGCAGCACGACTCCACACAACACGCAATCTATTAGTTGCGATAACGGAATTACAGAATTTTTATTTATATATTAGATTCGGGGCCAGATTTAGTGGCGCGCCGTTATTTATTACCATTACCAATCGGTCTCTCTATTTAGGGGAGAAAGAGTGGCGAGATGAGAGCACCCCGGACCGGAAACGCAATCGCGGAAATGGAGATTTATACTGGCAAAATATTATTTATATACCATCCAGTGTCGAACTGGGGAGGGGTAGACGAGGCGAACGAACGATTCCTCTCCTGCAATAAACTATTTTAATGTCCCATATTAATATTTATGTTTTTCACATCCTTTATTGCATGCACATGCACAGCACCCCATCTTCGATGATGCAGGGATGAATGTTTGGATCACGATTTCGATAAAAAAAAATATAAAACTTAATAATATTTTCAATTGGACTCTTGCTGATTAATAGAAGGATTTTGCTTGTATTTTGTATTTTTATTCACACCCGTTGTGTTTTAGAAAAAAGAAAATATAATTTTTGATAATAGCAGTTTTCAAAGAAAAAAAATCACAAAATACAAATTATTAATAAATAATCAACTAAATACAATAATAAAAGTCTATAAAAGAAAATAATTATAAAAAAAACGAATCCATTATTATAAAAGAAAATGAAGGTAGAAAATGGTTTATAAAAAATCAAGTTCAATAAAAAAATCAGGAATATTAATCAATAAAATTAGTAATTTCATAAAATTTTGTATACATACAAATAATTTCCCTCTCATTTTTACTTATATTCATTTCATTAATTAATTGGAATTAAATAGTGTGCACTTATTTATTAACCACTGAATTCATTTTATGCTTTTGTATTATTTCTTTCATTTATGTATTCCATAATTGCATGATTCAAAACCTTTGAAATACTCGTATTGTTAATGAAGTTTGAAGGTGAACTATATATTATTGTTCAACGTCAACGTTATTAATAAGTCGTAATATACACAAAGTGACGACAATTTGTACTTACTAGAATTAAAGTAGTCTCTACTCGAGTGAATTCCAAGTTTTGCGTTTCTTAAACATTTTCAAGTGATGTAAATATTCATTTTTAATGTGAATTCTTCTTCACGTGGAGAAAATTGTTCTTATTTTTTATATTTATTTATTTTATTTTTCGTTGTTGGCGACGGAGGCGGTTTCGGATTGATGTGGTAACATTATAAAGAGAGGATATATCTAAGTAGTGCGGATAATCAAGATAACGGATGGGTGGGGATGGGGTCCTGGTGGCGGGCGTCGCGGCGCCCGACTGGCGGTCTCCAGCCACTGTCACACTGCATCCCTATCCGTTAGCCGGAGCGTCCCGACGCTCCTCCGCTGCGGCTGGGAATTTGATTTTATCCACGCCAGGCAATTCCCTTATAAATTTCAGCTCCCAGAAGGATAGCATAAACAAAAAAGAAACAAAGTTGCGGAAAACATCAGTCGTGACAACCGAAATTACAAAACAAAACAATAAATCTATTACCATTGAATTCAGAAACGAAAAATATTTATTTTGTATTATGAAAATTCAATAATTTTTAAAATGATTTATTTAAAAAAAATGACAGAAAGACTATGGTCGATAGTTCTTTCGCAAGTTTATGTTACTTTCATTATAGAATGATAATTTCAAAATCATATACCAATTTAAAATGTACAACTAATTCAAATATTACTTTCGTAAGTTCTGAAACATGCTACTTAATTACTAGAAAGAAAAGTTAACATGATTGAAACGTCTACACATAATAATTGCATTGAGTATAAATATATATAATAGGTTTTTAATTAGCATCTTTTTGTAATTATTTACGTATTTTTCAATTATGCAAAATGATTTCAACATTGAATTAAAAACAATCATACGATTTATACATCACAACGATTAATGTAGCAACTTTTACAATATTTTTAATTATGAATTATTGGAAATTTAGTTAAATTAAAAAAAACAACTTAACAGTAATTTAAGTTACATTTAAAACGTTACAAAGTTCAGTTATTGAAGTTTTATAAACTATATCAAATATAATATATTGTGTCAATGTTAATGAAATGACGAAATGTATATGTAGTATTGTTATGTGTAATTTTATATAATTAAGTGATTTATCTTCTTTGATTATTACATTGGACAAATGTATGTTATTGGTTAAAAAACATGCAAAATGTACAACAATATATTATTAATATCCCCCGACTTACGAACTAGTTTCTTTACATAGGGTTGTTCGTATGTCGTGGAAATTAAAAATGTACTTATTACTGACTAAATGCATAAATTTGAAAAATAAAATAAACAAAATACTTCCTTACAAATACTTTTCAATGTAGACATCATAATTATTGAATAAAAAAAAAACGACAAAAGAAACAAATAGATCGTACAAAACAGATAGTACATCTTCCAAAAAATTTATATTTTATTAAAGAAATTATAAATTTTTGGACAGTTACTTTTCTTATCATTATATATCTCCTTGTAACACAGTAGAGCTTTTATAATTTTGTTCGTAAGTCCGGGAGTTCTTAAGTCGGGAAAAAACAAGTTTTATTGTTTTTTCTATAAGTTAAATTTAATTTCATTTACAGTTATTAAGTAAGGTTTACCGATAAATTTTACCTAAATCAAATAGCACTATGCAAAATGGGTAAAATTCCATCCAAGCTAAATCCAAGCACGAGAAGGGAATTGTCTTTTAGCATAAACGCAGGTGCAGTTATGTCACGGCACCGCTGTTTGCATAGTAGCGAAATGCTAATTACCAAGTCGCTTTTACCAATTAACATATTTATTTTTATGCGCGTTGTTGCGAACCTGATTGAATCCAAGTTATTTATGATATTTTAAATATTTTTTTTTTACTTGTGTTCTGGTGTGTAATAATTTCCCTTTTTGTCTTGTTGCAGGTGAATGAAGACGTTACACAAAGCAGAAAGTTCAAAGACATTGAGAAAAGTTCAGGTAAGTTCTGTAAAATGTACTTAGATCCTGTATTTTGCATGCATCCTTCCTTACAAATCGAATTTATCCACACCGTAATGGATAGCCGAATATTCAAGCGTCGCGACGCTTTGGCGCCTCGCCGGAGCTGGTGCGCGATTGGCGTAGCTCGACCAATCGGCGTCCGGAAAAATCATCCCCCACCACGGATCCGGGTTGGGGTTGCGTATATATTTTCCGCGGGGCCGCTGAAGAGGGGTGCTTTCGGTCTTAACCCTCCTAGAATGTCGTGCTCCTCTCATTCTGCAGTCGGTTCTCGTGCTAGTTGGCCGTGCTATCTAAAGTGAAAACACTTTACAAATTTTAACTTGTAAAAAAATATACTTTCATATTTTCCAAAGTAAAATCCGAGTCGCTAAATTTCTAAACTTCAACATGTTGTGCTCTACGAGGAACAAGTAAGTAATTTTCAGTTTATTTATCCGGATAATAATTTGTCAAAAGCTCTCGAGAATTTTGAAGATATTAAAGTTTGTTCTGTCTTTGAAGAATTTAATTGCGGTTAGAAATATGATGATCTGAAAACGCGAAGAATTTAATAATGCCGGACTTAAAGAATTTTTACAAGTAGTCGGATATTTACACGGATCGCGCATATTTGTAATTTCAATTATTTCTCTTGTGGCTAACAAATAGAGTATTTTGTTAACGAAACGTAAAGTGGATGCGCCGGGTAATGGAACATTATTTGTATTTTATTGCAGAAAGTAAAATGTGGCCCTTTTTGTAATCGATTCGGAAGGTTGAAATATTCGGCTTGTAAGTAAAACCTCCATGATATTAGAGTGCATTTTTTGGAATATCCGAGATGCAGGTAGTTGTAATTGATATTGCGAATGAGCAGAGAAATATGAATGAACGGTTTAATGTTTCGACCTATATTATGTTCGATTGAGGACGAGTCCAGTGACCGGGCCAGGACCCAAATTTCACTCTCGTTTAGCGGCACGTGCTAAACACGTATCGATTGGCGGTGCCCACCGACGCCGTCGGGTCGGACGACGCCGCCGTTGCCCGGGCAACGCAGCTTCCCCACTTCCCATAAAGCCCAAACCACCCCATCGTGCATGATTCAATTATGTGACATGTTCTACTTCCAAACGTTTATTGACTTACTTCTTAAGTTCCGTGGTTATTGATTGCCATATGCAATGGCGTTTATAACGATAATACCGATAGCATTTTAAAGAAATGACGCCTGTTCTTTTGTTCCAGGATATTTCGTCCTCAGATTGAAGTGCCGCGATGTCGCTCTCACTACGAATTAACATTGTCGAAGGCAATGTTACTAAAACGATTGTTTTCGACCCGACCACCACCGTTTACGATGCCTGCAAGATCATCAGGGAAAAAGCGTCAGAAGTCAATTTGGGAAAACGTAAGAGATTTTTCATATCATCATCATGATTCGTTTCATCACTTCAGCTATTGATAATATCTAATTACAGATAATGAGTACGGTTTGTACATGACCGACGATGCAACGAATTCGGGGATTTGGTTAGAGCCCGCTAGGAAATTGGAGTATTACATCCTGCAGGATGGATATTTGCTGGAGTACCGTAAAAAGATGCGCACGCTGCGCGTCAAAATGTTAGACGGTAATTGCCTCAAACCAATATATATATATTCCCTTCCATTCTAAACGCCGTTCCGTTCTGTTTAGGCTCCGTAAAAACCATGCTAGTGGATGACTCGCAAATAGTACAGAACTTGATGGTGGTTATATGCGCAAAGATCGGCATCACCAATCACGATGAATATTCGTTAGTGCTCGAAGACCTCGAAAACCAAGAAAACCTGGATAACCGAAACTACGGCACTTTGACATTGAAACGCAAGAAGGAGGAACGGCAGAAGGATGCCGTTATGGACCAGCTGCGTAAGAAGGTGCGCACAGATGACGAAGTCAATTGGGTCGACCCTTCGAAAACTTTGCGCGAGCAGGGCATTGACGAGAACGAGACCGTGCTGCTCCGGAGGAAATTCTTCTTTTCCGATCAGAACATCGATTCCAGAGATCCAGTTCAGTTGAATCTGCTGTACGTGCAGGCCAGAGATGCTATCCTTGATGGCACGCATCCCGTTACCCATGACAAAGCATGTGAATTTGCCGGAATCCAATGCCAGATTCAGTTCGGCAATCATGTGGATAGCAAGCACAAGCCAGGATTCTTGGAGTAAGTCCACTTTAGCTTACATTCCTCAAACATACGTTGTAATTGGATTTGTTTTCTGTTTCAATTTCAGCTTGAAAGAGTTCTTACCGCAATCCTACATGAAAGTGAAAGGTATCGAGAAGAAGATATTTCAGGAACATAAAAGACATCAGTCACTCTCCGAACTAGACGCAAAGGTCATGTACACGAAAATCGCTAGAGCTCTCACAACGTACGGTGTAACATTCTTCTTGGTAAAAGAGAAGATGAAGGGCAAGAACAAGTTGGTGCCGAGATTGCTCGGAGTTACAAAGGACTCGGTGCTGCGTCTTGATGAAAAGACTAAGGAGATTCTTCAAACATGGCCATTGACTACTGTCAGGCGATGGGGTGCTAGCGCAAACACTTTCACTCTGGACTTCGGAGATTACGCAGATCAATACTATTCTGTTCAAACTACCGAAGCAGATCAGATCCAACAAATTATTGCCGGATACATTGATATCATTCTAAAGAAGGTAAATCAAATTTAACATAAACGTTATTAACAATAATTAAACAATACTTATGTAGAAACAAGCCAAGGACCATTTCGGAATTGAAGGAGACGAGGGATCAACCATGGTAGAAGACAGCGTTTCACCGCACAAGTATGTATTTACATATATAAAATCTTCAATATTTTTTACGTTTTAATTTCTTCTATCGCAGAGCTACAATCTTGCAGCACGAGTCCAGCAAAGTGGGTCGCGTGAATTCTCAATCTATTGCAATTCCAGCCGTTATGAGGGCTGCTTCTGAAGGTTTGATTTTCTTCATTATTATACTATTATCATTTTTATTTTATTATCGTTTCTTTTATTTCTTTTTTTTTGCTAATTTATCTATTAGGTCCAAAATCTTATCATACAGCTCATATGGGCAATGCACAATATACAACAATCGGGGGTCAAGCAAATTTAGGTCATATGCCGCCGTCGGTAAGATTTCTTCTAAACATTTATTAACTAACATAATTTAACAAACATTTAGTTTTTATTATATTCTAAATTAAATAGTAGCATATAAATGATTGATTAATATAGAAATATATGTGAAGACGGACTGTGACAAGAAACATGTATACATTATTCATATAATTCTGCAACTATTTATTTTTTCATTCATACAGTATTTTTATTATTTTATTTTGATATATCAGAAAAAAAAAGTACATAACTTACATGCTTTTTGTTTTTCGTTTCAATGCTTTCAATTAGGAGCAGACGGCAGAGTAGGTACATATAATTTTCTGTATGTAAATATGAATGTTGTGATTAGTCTTTTATCGACATTTTTAACGATATTAATAAGTTCCAATTATTGTCCTTGTTAGATCCAACAAACAAAAGTGACTACTGTCCTGAGCGAACCGCAAAAAGCACTCGTCTCTACAATAGAAAGCACACAGACAAAAATAGAGCAATCCGTTATCGAACTTGAATCGAAAGCCCAATTTCCAGAGTTGGGTAGCGATAATTATTCCAAGAAATGGAAGCAAGTTACCTTAGACACCAAGAAACAGAACGTTGGCTCACAGATAGCCGCGATGAACGCTGCCACCGCACAGGTAATAATACTTTATTTAATGTAAAATTATATTTTTTCTGTTGATTACTATGAATACAATTTAATTTAGGTCGTCACACTTACATCCGGCAATTCCGAAGAAATTGACCACAATGCTGTCGGAGCTGCCATAAACACAATTGGAACTAATTTACCTGAGATTACTAAAGATGTTAGGATGATCGCCGCCTTAATGGACGATACCAATAATGGCGAAAGATTATTGGACGCTACTAGGAAACTTGTCACTGCTTTCAGCGATTTATTGAAGGCGGCCGAACCAGAGTCCAAGGAACCCAGACAAACATTGCTTAGTGCAGCAAGCAGGGTTGGTGATGCCAGCAGTCAGGTGCTTTCTACGATCGGTGATGATACTCACGAGAATAAGGAACTACAAGATATGTTGCTCTATTTGGCCAAGGCTGTGGCTAACACCACTGCAGCTTTGGTTCTTAACGCAAAGAATATTGCAGCCACCTGCGATGAACAGCAGGTACAAAATAGAGTTATAGGAGCAGCCACTCAATGCGCTCTTGCCACTTCACAATTGGTTGCTTGTGCTAAAGTTGTAGCACCGACTTTACATTCAACCGCATGTCAAGAACAACTGACAGCTGCAGTAAGAGAGGTGGCTAAAGCAGTAGAAAATCTTGTTACAGTTTGCAGTGATAATTGCTTTAACGATGACCTAATGTATAAACTGAACGAGTCCGCTGCTGAAGTCTCTAGAACTCTGAACGATCTGCTTAACCATATCAAAATGGTTGGACCTAAGAAGGCCAACGAGTCGATACAAGAATCTAGCGTTGAAGTTATTTACACTACCACCGATAAACTAACTTCCGCTTCTGATTCCGCCGAGATGATTAAACAGGCGAGAGTTTTGGGTCAAGCTACTGCTCAATTAATTCAAAGTATCAAGGGTGAAGCGGAGAAACAACCGGTTAATTCGGATATGCAGAAACGGCTCTTGGCTGCTGCAAAGAACTTGGCTGATGCCACCGCACGCATGGTAGAGGCAGCCCGACAATGCGCCAACAATCCACAAAATGTGTCATACCAAGATAGCCTCCGTTCGACAGCCGAATATTTGAGGGATGTCACCATTGTTACTTCGACCACGCCAGCTCTCCGTGCCAGATTGGTGGAGAGGGTGAACGAGTGTGCCCGTCGTGCCGTATCGACAGCCACTCAGTGTATTCAAGCTGCCCAACTCAGTCACCAGCACAACTCCAACCAATCGAGCCAGGAACAATTAATTAACGACACCCATGAACTCACCCAACAAATACCGCCACTTGTGGAATCCATTAATAACACCACGGAGTCCCCGCAGAGCCCTAATCACCAAGTCGAACTTATGTATGTGGCCGAAGTTTTCTTACACCCGGCGACACACTTTGTGCAATCATCGCGTGCTGTTTTGCCCACGTTACACGACTCCACAGTTTCTCAACAATTGAATTCCACCACCCAACAATTCAACACCGACATAATTGAATTGAGAAGTGCCATATCTAAAGCACAGCCTGCCTGCCAAGGTCTGGGAATGAACGCTGCCGCCCAAATAATCGACGATTTGAAAGATGAGTTCAACGAGTTCGAAAAAGCACTCGAAATGCATAGCCTCAAACCATTGCCCGGCGATTCCGCAGAAAAAGGAACTAATCAATTGGTATCCAGCGTGAATTTGATCGACCAGAGCGTGGCTCAGATGCTGAGTGCCACCTCGCAAAACAATGAGTTCTACACTTCGCAAGCCGCCCGGGATACTGCTCAGAGCTTAAGAGGTCTAACAGGAGCCGTGAGGATGGTTGCCGCAACCACTGGCGATAGAAACGTGCAAATGGACCTGATAAGGGCTGGATACAATGTTGTTGATCACTCCAGTCGCCTGCTCGAGGAAGCCCAGACCGCTGTTAATGCAAATGAAGGTGTTACCCCAACTTTGCAGCAAGCTGCAAAGGAAGTCACGAGAGCACTGGAGGCTACGATTGCCTGTCTTCCCGGTCAAAGAGATGTGGATGTTGCTATTACTAGCATCAAGGAATGGTCTTATACTATTGATTCCGGCAAATTCCCGGTAACGGATAAGAGTTACGGCGAGTTGCAAAGGGAACTATCTTCCGCTGCTTCTCATTTGAACGATGCCAGTTCTGTCGTTGTTCATTCAGCCAAAGTACCATCTAAATTGGCATCGAGTTCCAAGGACTTCAGTTCTGCCTACCATGAACTTTTACAAGTATCTATGGAAATGGCTGGGCAGACCCCCGATTATGACACCAGAGGTCATATGGTGCATTCATTGAAGAATGTTTCAACAGTTTCCAGCGAACTTTTAAACACTGCAAAATGTTTTTCCGCCGATCCGAATATGCCCAACGGAAAGAACCAATTGGCCGATGCCGCAAGAGCTGTCACAGATAGCATCAATCAGTTACTCGATGTGTATACTAGTGCAACACCTGGTCAAGCTGACTGCGAGAATGCCATCAGAAATATCCAAGCTATGAAGCATTTGCTCGATAACCCGAGCGAACCAATCAACGATTGGAGCTACTATGAATGTTTAGACGCAGTCACTGAGAGAAGTAAAATACTTGGTAAGAGTACATCAGTAAATACCTTCGAAAATATATAATTTATATCATTATCATATTACTTTAGGTGAAGGCATGTCTGGAATCACCGCAAGCGCCAAGCAATCCGAACACGAGAAATTCAGCCACTGCGTTAAAACAGTCAGCGGTACCATTTGTTGTCTGGTGGAGGCCGCAGCCCAAGCTTCATACTTGGTAAATACATTATTTTTTAATACTTCTTGTATACATTTATTTATCGTATGTTGTTGATATAGGTGGGAATATCTGATAGCAGCAGCGTCGCCGGAAGACCAGGTTTAGTAGATCAGGCACAGTTTGCGCGTGCCACTCAAGCTATCCAAAAGGGCGTATCCATTCTCAATACGTTTACGAGCAAACAAGACGAAGTTCTGAATGCCGCTACGCTAATAGCCAAAAACACGAGCGCCCTTTGCAATGCTTGCCGCACTGCTAGCACAAAAACCACTAATCCTGTTGCGAAGGTCCAATTCGTTCAAAGCGCCAAGGACGTCGCCAATTCCACCGCACACCTGGTTAAAGAAATAAAAGCTCTTGACAGCAAATACTCTGAAGAAAACAGAATCAAGTGTGCTGAAGCCACTAAACCTCTACTTGGTATTATTGTTCATTTACTTCTTAGAAAATAATAATTAACGTGAAACTTTATTCCCCGATAGACGTCGTCCACAATTTGAGGATCTACGCAAACTCACCAGAATTCGTAAGTGTCCCAGCGAAGATTTCGTCTCAAGCCAGAGAGGCCCAACAGCCCATTTTAGACTCCGGACGTAAACTGATTGAGAGTTCTACTGGCGTGATAAACTCCAGCAAAAACTTGGTCATTATGCCCAAAGATCCGACTACATGGCAACAATTCGCCACACACTCCAAGAACTTCTCCGATTCTATAATAAATTTGGTATCGAGCATCAAGAACACGGCACCGGGACAGATCGAATGTGACAAGGCCGACAAACTCCTGAACAATTGCATTCATACAATTGATCGTGCCTACATGGACTCTGTTTCACAATCTATGGCACCGAACAGATCTGCCACATTGCAATCGTTCACGCAACAAGTAGCCAGAGCTGCTGCTGAACTCACGGATACCGTAGAAGTCTTGAGACAATCAGCTAAATATGAAGCGGAGAACATCGGCCATTCTGTTAACCAGTTGGCTCAATATTTCGAACCTCTGGTACATGCCAGCATCGGCGCTGCGTCCAATATGACCAACTCCAAACAGCAGGAAGCTCTTCTGAACCAAACCAAGAGCGTAACGGAATGCGCTATGCAGTTCATCTACGTGACAAAGGACTGCGGCGGAAATCCGAAATCCATCAATCTGCACCCGGAAGTGGAAGAAGCAGCAAACGGCATGAAGGAATCCTTGCAGGAATTGGTAGCTAATTTGGAAACACTATCAACCCAAAGCGGAATTGTTTCTGGTGTGATTGAAACTCTGTCAAGGGCTATGTCCAGGTTATCCGATAACCGAGCTTCGCTCATTCTTACTGATTCCGATGTTTCTTACGTTGATTTCCAAACGCGCATGGTCGAATGTTCCAAAGACATTGCTAAGCTTGCCGGTGAAATGGTAAACATATATATTTTCGATATATTTATGTTTTAATACTTTTTAATTTCAGTCAAGCAAGGCCGGTATTGAACCGCAACGTTTAGCACCATTGTCAGCGGATTTGTCCCACAAATATTCGCAATTGGCCAGCGACAGCATCGGAGCGGCTGCGGCCTCCTCTAACATGGAAGTATCTATGAAATTGCGACAAGTTGTTCTGGCATTGGGTGCAGCTTGTGAGTCTTTGGTGAAATCTGGAGGAGAGTGTCAGTTCAGAAGAGATGATATGGCGTTAAGGGATATCGCAGATTGCGCTCGTAACGTCAACGAGAAAGTCTCTCGCGTATTAGCCACTCTCCAGTCGGGTTCCCGAGGTACCCAAGCATGCATCAACGCCGCTTCCACTGTGTCCGGAATCATAGGCGATTTGGATACCACAATTATGTTCGCCACTGCCGGAAATTTGAATCCAGAAACGGAAACAGAATCATTCTCCGACCACCGAGAAAATATCCTGAAGACCGCAAAGGCCTTAGTGGAAGACACAAAAACCTTGGTGGCTGGTGCTGCCTCTAGTCAAGAACAATTGGCGGTCGCTGCCCAAAATGCTGTTACCACTATAGGTGAGAATATTTAACCAATATTTTAAAGTACAATTAATATAACGACTGTTCGTATTTGGTTTCAGTGCGTTTGGCAGAAGTTGTTAAATTCGGTGCTGCGAGTTTGGGTTCCGATAATCCAGATTCACAAGTAATGTTGATAAATGCTGTAAAGGATGTCGCTAGTGCTCTGGGTGATTTGATACATGCTACTAAAGCGGCCAGCGGGAAACCTATTAATGATCCGGCTATGTCTCACTTGAAAGACAGTGCTAAGGTAGGGCTTACAAATAATACCAATCATCAACGCCTCATTATCAAATATTAATACTATGGTGGACTTTAAAAAGGGGTTTCTTTCATAACTTTATTTAACATCACACGCTTCTTAAAATCAATCAGCTTATGCATTTGAATAACTAAGACGGTATTAACATGCGGGAAAATCGGGTTTGAATAATTATAGCTTTTGGTTCAGGTGGAATAATTCGTTTTTATTTTCAGAATTGATTGATTCTAAATCTAATTATTTAAGTTAAAGTCAATAAATACATGTGTTTTTTTTTTATTGCACGGAATTCTTTTTAAAGTCCACGCAAAAATATATTTCGAATTAGAATCCTAAAAGAATGTGTCCTGTCTCTTGAAATTTTGGTTTATTTTGTTTTGTTTGTTTTGTTTTTTCTTGTAACACATGTTTTAATTGGCTGACAGGTCCAGGATTCAGACACCGATTGGTGGATCTCTGATCAAGAGGACGAACTGCTGCGTTTATTAAGCGACAGCTGCGAAAATATTAGCGGCGATTTGCCCACAGATATCATTCAGTGTCTAATGGCCACCTAGACCGATAAACAAAACCGATTTTTTGAATTTGTTTTTATCGTTGTTGTTGTTGTTTTTTTGTTCTTCATTTTGTGTTCACCCCTTCATCCTTTTAGTACTATCGCGTGTTGACTTTCTTTTATTTTCTCTTTCTATCCGATCCAAGTATATTTTTTTTACCTTTCTATGTTTCCACAAATAAATGTTGTATGACGTGAACTCTTAGTTTATTCATGTAACTTCCCTCATTCGGTTGGTATGTATTTGATTTTATTATTGCGTGTCTCTCTCTTTCTCTTATATTATTAACAGGCTTTTGTTCCGAAGTGGGAGTTTAATAATAATCAGCATGCTAATCTTATCCATTGATGCCCAACTATAGCTATTTAACATACTTTCATATGGCCTTTCTCTTTCTTCTGCAGGTTATGGTTACAAATGTAACTTCTCTTTTGAAGACTGTTAAATCCGTTGAAGATGAGCACACCAGAGGCACAAGAGCTCTTGAAGCCACTGCAGAAGCTATCGCTCAAGAGTTGAAGTCTCTGAGATTGGATTCCGGTGCTAGGTCTAACGTGACTCCTGAGGAATTGATTAGAATCACTAAGGATATCACAAAGGCAACAGCTAAATCTGTGGCTGCAGGAATCAGTAACAAACAAGACGACATCATTGCAGCCGCTAACATATCAAGACGCACCATCTCTGATATGCTTATCATTTGCAAGAGCGCCTCCATACATTTGGCAGAAACTCTTGAGTTAAAGCAGAGAACCATGAGAGCGGGAGAGGAATGTGCCAAACAGTACCGCGAACTTCTCTTGACCATACTTCAAGGGAATTACACGGACGCCAAACAAACATTGCCATTAATTTCAAGGAACATTGCCACCTCGGTCACAGAGTTGGTTGCTGTTGCTGAACTGCTGAAGGGATCCGACTGGGTGGATCCTGAAGATCCCACCGTCATTGCAGAAAATGAACTCTTGGGTGCTGCGGCATCCATTGACGCTGCCGCTAAAAAACTGGCCAACTTGAGACCAAGAAAAACTATCCAGGTAAATTTTAATTAAATAACTTTTGTAATTATGTGTGGAACCAGCTCAAAAGGTGGACTACTGTGAGATATGTTTGATATTCTTGGTTGTAGTATTTGAGCACCCAGGAATCAAACATATTATTACAGTGGTCTGCACATCTACTTAACATTTGGTGAGTTTTCGTGAATGTTGTTTATCAATCTCTTTATTCCAATTATATGATTATATTTTTAATTTAATTTTTCAGACAAATGAACTGGATGAGAACATGAACTTCGATGAGATGATTTTGGAGGCTGCCAAATCTATAGCAGCGGCAACTTCAGCTTTGGTGAAGGCTGCAAGTGCGGCTCAGAGAGAATTGATTGACAGCGGAAAGGTGTCGGGTACACCTTTAACATCATCAGATGATGGACAATGGTCTGAAGGTTTAATTTCTGCTGCTCGCTTGGTCGCAGCCGCTACTCACAGTCTAGTTGAGAGTGCCAATGCCCTAGTACAAGGGTTAGCCAGCGAAGAAAAGATGATCTCTTCGGCGAAACAAGTTGCAAGTTCTACAGCACAGCTACTTGTAGCCTGCAAAGTTAAAGCAGAAGGAGACACAGAAGCAACGAGAAGACTGCAACAAGCAGGAAGCGCAGTCATCAGATCAATTGATAACTTAGTACGCGCCGCTCAGCGTGCAATCAGCGTTGAGGAAGAAAGATCACTAGTTCTCAACAAACGAATGGTTGGGGGTATTGCCCAAGAAATCAATGCTCGTACTGAGGTGTTGCGCATTGAACGGCAATTAGAAGAAGCCAGAGGTAAGCTGACTGCCATCAGGCAGGCCAAGTATAAAATGAAGGGTGGAGATGCCTCTGGCGAAGATACGGACGGTTATATAAGTTCTAACTACGATGGAGTCACATCGCGGTAAGTCCAGGTGTGTGTCTAACGCTACTAATAACAATGTTTTTCCTGCTTCATGAAAGACGGCTTCAACAAATTTAAATATTTTCCATACTGTTATTTTTACTACACCAATTGGCACTAGGTGGTTGGGCTCTATATTTTTGGTTTATTATACATGTGCATATTTGTTGTGGTGTGTGAATTATAAACTCTAGATTTAAGCATGATGCATTATTAACTTTGTATGCACATACACATTCAGTGACAGTTTTGAATCGCATGTGGAGGAAACAGTATTAACTAGCACCGACTTCTTGGAGAAGCGGAACCTTCTTGAATGCAAACTGCAGTTCAGAAAACAGGGTAAGGCTTTGCACGATTTAATATTATTATTTCATTAATCATTCAAGGACTTTCTAATTTGTAATCCAATTTTGCTATTTATTAGAACATTTTTGAGAATTCTTGAATGAGATTTCATTAATTGCATTTAGTTTTTTTTTAATAACACTAATTAATTTGTCAGTAGTTTTAATATTCACGCTTTGCTACTGTTAGTAGAAATTTGATTTCTGTTAAAATAATTATGTAGAGAGAAATTAGTTGCTGCTGACCAAGCCGTTTATGTTTAAAAGAAACGAATAGTTTTATAACGTATTGTATCTATTTTCAGTCTAGATTCATATTACACCAATAACCGCTCCCATAACAATACTTACACCAGCGCCGAATCATATGATTATCTGGAGAGTCCGGAGAAGGTGCACTCTTTGGACCGACATCGACCCAACAGGATAAATCTGCAAGGATCCAGCGACCCATACGGCACGAATCAGAGCTACAATTCTTTCGCGAAGACCGCTCCCAAATTTGTTTCTTCCCCAACCCACGAACCGAAATACAGCCCGACCTCTCCGAAAACGACTTATGACCCACCCTATTCACCCAAATCCTACGACTCTCATTACGATCAGAACAAATATGGTGATCACTATGGACAGATCCAGGAAAAAACGTACAGCAACACATTCGGTAAACCGTACAGATCATTCGATAGTAATATGACGTACGCAACAGACCAATTCCCATCGTTATCCTTGAAAGAATCGCAAGATCCCGTCGACGGTTACACAACTTCCGAGATGAATACTAATACCGTTTTAATACCGGGCGGATATAAAACTGTCACGAATAAGATCGAGAGCTATCATTCTGGATACCAACCAATGACGTATACAGCGTCGGAGAAATACTACACGACGCCGAGTCCGAAGAGTTCGTCGTTTAAAAACGGATCAGATTATCAAAGCTCCTATTCGAACACTGTCGAATTCATGAACGATGCGCCCACGTTGAAAGATTCCGATACGCTCGAACAGAAAATGTTGAAGAAGTCCGTTACCCAACAGATCACTGAAAAGAAAACTGTATCGACGGTGAGGAGCAGTAAACAGGAGACTGCCACGAAAACCTTTAGATTAGAATAAGCAGATGCGAAACGAAAGTGACCTTATCGACGAAGATTATTTTGTTTGTTAATATTTTGGTGCTAATCCATCGTAATTGCTTTTTTTTTAAATTACCTATTAAATATATATATTTTATAACACAAATTGTACATGGATCGTGCCAATGGAGTTTATGGAGTGGTTTAATGCTTCTATTAAATATTACATTTATTAATTATTAATATTACTTGGCGCACGAATGTAGCCAATGTTTAGTCGTAACTTTTAGTGCCTGAAAAATAATTGACTAAAGACATGTTATGTGCCTGTTACTTACACTTTATAAAAAAAAATACACATTTTATTATATTTTATATTATATTATTATTGATGAAAGCATACATATATATATATATTTATAATTATATTATATTCATATACAATTTTTAAAACAATCATATATTCTACACATATAATTATGGAATGTTATCACTCTTATTTAATTAATTATATATGTGTTTATATTTTAACATGATTTATACACTTCATTGTATTTGTGACGAATAAAAAGTAATCGAAGTAAGACTGACACTTTATTTAACTATTATTAAGTTATACACTTATATTCCAATATTTACCAGCCTACGGGGATGTTGTTGGCTTTGATATAATCCTTGAGGAATAATTCTATGGGCATGTAGTATTCCCTGAGTGGTGCTGTTGTTATGTAACTTTTACCAGTCAAAATGCGCAAGACCTCCGACCAGTGAACGCTCGAACCCAGCGACATTGCTTGCCTAAAATAATAATAATAATTTATTTTTTTAATTGGGACTTGATGTTTAACTTACATCAAAGCTTCACCGCATAGTTTGCAACCGTAGATGTCGCATCGATGCAAAGGTAAATCGAGCTTAGCCGCAAATTCGTTTGGATGTGTTCCGTATAATGATAGCTCGCACAAGCCTTTGAATACCTGCATTTGCAGAATGCCGCTCAAGAAATAGCTAAAGGATGATGTTAATACGGATGTAATAGTAAAACCTTTATAGATTTACCGAATGTAAGGAGTGTTGTCGGGTACATGGAACTTAGCGCCAACGTCTAAATAAGCCTCGCTCCTTCGGGTCGGTGGAACGACACCGCGGATTTTCTCATTCATCTTCCAATAAGCGTCGTTCAATTCGTGCTCTCCGATTTTGTTTGCGAATACATCCCACCTGTATTTATCCACGATCAATGCAAACGGTATTTCGGCAATTTTGTTCAAAGCTTGTTGAAGCAGCAGCAACTCATCAATTCGCCTATCATTTAGTTCATCGTCTCTTAATAATCCCAATCTCTGCAAATGCGGAGGCGCCATTACTCCGTGCATTATAGCATCGCCAATAGTTTCATGGATCGCCGAATTCGCACCGTCCTGAAAATTGCTTATTAGCATTACCAATTATCGATCAGTGGCACCTGAAATTACCTGAAACACAGCCGGTTGATATCTATAGGCCATGTCATATTCCAAGTGACCCATCTCGTGATGCATTACATAGAAATACTCCATGTTCACTTTAGCGCACAGCAACATCCTGTATTCAAAATCATTTTTTTTATAAATATCATTTTCGAATAGATTTATAAGTTATACCTGTAATCATCGCCGGTGAACATATCGGCAGCAGATCCATGACACATGTTTGCATTGTTTTCATCCATTACCGAGTTTTTCCAGAACTTTCGAGTCATTGCCATTAAGTCCATAGAAGTATAGAAATCCTCAGCTTCTGATACCTAAAAACAAATCATATCAAGCATTATTATTCCTCTTAAATATTTGAAAACATTATTTTCAAATAGTAAAAATCATGTTTTTTCTTACTGATGGATTTTTTAAAATAATTTGTATTAAAAATCGATAATTGTATTCATTTCATAAATCAAGAATAAGATAATACGAATTTTATACTTTAAGTCTAATCAGTCTAATCTTGTAGATTATGTGGCATAAAAATACAATATTTTTTAATTTTTAAGTAACTAGTAGAACTAAGTTAATACAAAGTCACACAACAAAAATGAATATTATCAATAAGATTTGTGAATGAAATAAGTTAAAATCCATCTATATTTAATGTACTAAATGTTATGTAATATACCTTTAAATTTAGGTGATATAAAAATTTAAATTAATTCAATAAAATATTAATTATATGTCACATTTTCAAATTAAAATGTATATAATTAAAACTGTTGCTATAGATTGATTTCTAAAAAGTGTGAATATTATACATATAATAATATATTTTTGTGTAGCGTGAATTTGTATTTAAACTTGCCTTATTGCAAGTCATAATTTTTTATTAGGCAGTCATAACGCGCAGTGTCTAGGGCCCACGATAAATCCACGATTTCCCTGATCATAATTTGTTTTATCCATGAAAAACATTTAAGTCAGAATTCAAGAATACATATTTTGTTGTTAAAAACCCACCACTCCTTTTTTTCCTCGTCGTGATCTACTTAACTGCCTAGGGTCCACGACAACCTTTGTGCGTATATATTATGTAAAACAAATTTAAAATTTTATATTGTTATTTCTTATGCATTTCAACTGTAGAGAATAATTAGCGTTCAGTATTGAAACTTATTAATAATTTCAAATTATATGAGTATTAAGTTTAACATACCATATCGTAAATAGTCCAGTTATCATTTTTCATTCTAGAATTTAAATCTATCAGCTCGTTCGAGTTATCGAAGAGCTTGATCAATGGTGACCAATCCTGCCCCCACATATTACCTAAAAATAAATGTATATACTTGTTATCAACTTCACTATCTGGATGGATACCTAGAAGATGTATTGGTAAAGGCCCGGTCGGATCGATTTCGGAATGTCCGTATTTCAACAACAATTTATGCCGAATTGCAGCGTGAAGCATTTTGTACAGAGGCTCAACACTCTTGTACAAATCCATGACGATGTTTTGAAGATCGAACATCTCCAGTTCATCCCTCCAAACCGCACCCATATCAGAATAACCTGTGCACAGTTATAATCAAATTTAATAAATAACGATGAGAATACAGACCGTTAGCCCTGGCCACGAAATTCTGAATGCTGACGACTTTGGGGTAAACCGCTCTCATGTCCTTCGCCACCGCGTTATGCCAGCTTTCCCAGATCCATTTGAGCTGATCGGGATTCAGATCGATCCTCTTCATTAACCACTCCAAATCGGGCTCTCCGTTCAAGCACTGTCCAGGTTTCGGATAATCGCTGATATTCTGCGTGGGTGAACTCAGCTCGTGCATGGTAGTCGGTTGATTTTCCGGGAAGCAAATTTCCACGCCGTAAGTTGAGCGCATCTCGTTCAGCGCTTTCATCTCTATCCTGAAATCGAATTAATTAAATAGATGCAAGCACTTAAGTTCTCCGAGTGAGTACTTAGCAGTTTCGTCGGTGAATTTAGGTCCTCTGCACAATAAATAAATCTTCCTTCTTTGATCGTCTCTCAATAACTGTTCCTTCACCTTCGACCCACAAACTCGATTTTTCCACGAATTTCGAACGAAGAGGATTTCCTTCGCATGCTTTACAGTATTGTCATCGCCTTTACCGATGGACATATCCCAAGTTAGCTTCGCCGATAGCTTATTGAACTCCTTCAAGCTGTCATCCACCTCATCCAACCACGCGTCCACTCGGCTCCTATATTTCTCTGATGGAAAATATGAAATTAATGCGAATCCATTAAACTCTAATTATTATTTTTTAATTCGAATTTTGATCAAACGCAAACTCGATTGCTTTCCGGCACGTCGAGCAATTACACATGTGTTCGTAGTATTGTTATGATGTACTGGTACAGAAACGGTGAGAGAACAAACAATGAACGACCCGTAATTAAATGCTAAGCTCCTGCCTGCAAAAACATATCTTCCGTTTATATAATCACCCTCGAGGCAGAACTGGCGCGGCGACTTAATTTTATTTCACTCTGCGGTTTATTAATTGCGGATTTATATTCTTCCCATAATCCCTGAGCAAATCCCCGGATTTTCTGTTGACAACCAATTACAACCGAAACGATCGAACAACTTAAATTGTCCCCTCCGAAGTTTTCCACCTTACTGTAGAGATTAAATCGAGATATCTTTCATAAATTAATTACTCGGATTTGCGAAAAGCTAATTCATACTTATTCTTTCTGATGTTTGTTTATAAATAAAATATAAATTAAATTTCACTATGTCCGTGCATATGGAAAGTAGAAATCTCATTAAAAAATTCAATTAGTGATTTTATTTATATTACCCGGCGCCGCCGCCAATTTTATGTTGGACAATTATGAATGTGGACTCGGAAAATCGAATGCGATTTTTCAATTAGTTGGAAACGGATGTTCTTCCGTTGTGCAGAAATTCAATTGCAAACATTCCGCGCGAAATACGTTTATTGAGTTTGATTTGATGTGTTTCCTCTATTTGCAGGAAGTTTAATTGAATTGCATATTTGTGTTGACTTCATAACTTCATAAACATTTTTCTACAGCGTTCTATTCAATTTATTTTGTTTCATTTATGCGCAAATTCAAATTATATTTTTTACTAAATCTTACTTATCGTTTCAGTTAGTTAACGTTTGTAGATTTAAACAACAAATGGAAAATGGCCCATTTTCCTGTTCTATTACCGGTAAAATATTAACCGGTTTTACCGACTTATATGATTACCGGTAAATTTTGATAAGAAATACCGGTAATTTATTTCGACTCGGAAAATGAAAGTGATGTTGCACATGAAGATGTTTTTCCAATTATAACTAAAATCGCACTAGTCAAAATTATTTCGTCGATTCACAAAACATGAAATATTTTATTATTTTTTTGTTAATGTATTAAACTTTTATTAATACTTAATAGGTTATTGTTAAAATTCATACATTACAAATCCTTAGATAAATTATGTTTATTATAAAATAAAATACTTCTTTTAGTAAAATTGAAGACCGAATTTAGATTTATTATTTAACAAACTGAAAAGATATAAAATCAAATATAGTTTAGCAAGTAAATTAGTTATTTAAAAATTAAATTTATATAAAAGTTATCTTTTTTAATGTTTTGCAGAAATGTTTTATTTAGAATGTATTTATTTTAGTACATTTTACATAATCCAATAGAATATATGCAAATTGTGGCATTATGGCTTCTAAGATTGTAATCCCATGCACTCTAGTCATTAGGTGACAGTTTTTCATATGCAATATTTAACTGTAAAACGCTCAATTTTCTGTTCAATATTAAATTCGTTTTTCCGATTTTGTTACTTTGTCTGGATTTATAGTATATTTTTCAATTAGTTACTTAAAATAAATCTTAGAAGTACTTAATAATAACAATTCTATAGTTTAATGAAAATTAAATAACTACGAAGGTTTGTGATTTATCATTTCAATATTTAGATTAACATATGTTCAATAATAAAACAGTTTGAAAAAAATCTAATTAACATTTCTGTACATTTTTTAAATGATTTATGTGGTCTGTAATTTACTTATATTATCGTAATAAATATTGTTATCATTAGTAAAATACTAATTATTTGTATTTGTGAGCATGTATATAATTATAGTTATTATTGCGTGGTATTCGATATTATTTATAATTGTGTAAAAGTTGTGATGTTTATTGAATAATTGTGTATATGAAATACCTATCGATCGAGCATCCCGTTCTTTCCCCAAAGCAGTAGCGGCGAGGAAGAGACAACATAGACTGAAACAAATTTTGAAGGATGGTGGCCTCATCTTGTAAGATGATTTCAAACACCAATATACCGACGAACCGGCAACTGGTATTTACGAAAACTGAACGGATCAAAGCTCCGTTTTCCAACTTATACCTGTGGATTTCCTCCGGGGGCGAAGAAGTGGAACACATGCGCGCACCAAAAATAACATTCGCAGAGATCCGCAATTTTAAAACTAACACGAATAAATTGAAAGCTAATGACGACCTTACGTGAAGATAATACTGATTACAATGTTGATATGGAAGAGACGGCTAAAGTGCACAAGTGTATGTTTTTAGCGCGTCAACGATATCAGAGCGTTAATCAATTAACCTGTCCGAAATTTGGTGGCTAATCTGAAAAAATCGGAGTTACCGTATTGCTGTTTATATTACGTATTATTGGACACAACGAGTGTTTGCTTTTATTGAGTTAAAACAATTAGGGAGTGCATCGGTTTTGATGAAATTATTAATCTTTTCTGCTAGCGAAAATCATCGATTTCTTTATACTTTTTAGCTTTTTGTTGAGGAGAGTGAAGATTTTTATTGCGTTCACGGTACTTTGTTTTCATTAGGTCGAAAACATACGCTCTTGGAAGTTAATTTCCATGATCTTTCCCAGAACACCTGGGCCCGTGACAAATGTAATGCCGGGGATTTCATCGGCTCCTAATCCCGACGTCGCATTTGTGCTACCTCGAATAGAAAAATAAAAGGAAAATGAACATTACGGGAAACATCACCACTAATAACGGAATGATTGGCATTTATTACTTTAGTTTCATATTAATCAAAACCGGTGATGGAAAATCAATACGATGGCGAGAGTTTCCATGTAGTGATCATATTAGTATATATATATGTATAAGGGTAAGTGCTGTTGAAAGGGGATACGGCGCTAGCCTTTCCTACTGCAAATCTAATTTCAATATTTGAACGCTCCGCCGAGCTGTGTGCATCAAGTTTCCAATAGTGTACATTTCAAGACTATTTTATTTTACTATTTTACTTCTATTTTTACTGTTTGACGAATTTTAAACGTCAGTAATAAATCCGTGAATGTCAATTGCGACAAAACAGAAATAACCATCGACATCGAGACATCATTGGAAACAACGCGAAGTGACAGTGATTGAAGACTTTTTATACCTAGTTCTACTTGACTTTTTATCGCCCAGCTCCTTTTCCACTCGTGTATCTGCTGCACAAGGGAGGTACAATATCTTATGTAACCACGAAACACTTCGACAATAATGAACATACAGCCAGATCCTCTGCACACTGTCAGATGCTTTGGCATTTAAATTGGTAAGTCAAATAACACAATCGCGTCCAATCCTTTAGTAGTGGTAGTAACATTGCGGATTTTGTAGCTTGTATGCGTTCATGCTGATATTGTCGTTGTCGCCAGTCCACTGCGTCCAGAAACGCGCCATAGATCTAAACGAAGTCGCCGACTTCGAAGATATCATCGAGGAAGAGGCTAAAGTCACCGAAAACACCGTATCGAATTCGTTGAAGAAGATTGAAGCTATCGAGCTCGAGCTACCCGAAAGCTTAAAAACAGTGCTCTCCTTGTCCAATGTCACCTACGAAGATCTTGCCACGACGTCGGCGAAGGAGCTCAGGAGGAGACAGGCAGATCTAACAACAGCACGTCCTACCGACACTTACGATGCGCCTAGACAGAACGTCGACGACATGAATTCCTTGCTCAAATTCAAGATGCGCCAGATGAAAACTCGAGTTCTGCCCAACTTTCTGACCAGACGCAGGAAACGGAAACGCAAAAAACGCTACCTGAATTTGTCGCCGTTAGTTGGAGGAAGTTTCGGCAAGTCATACCTAGGTAACCTGGCAGCTGCCACTAACGATGCCTATTTGAAAATGCAAAATTACGCAGCTACAATGGTCATCCTCATCACCACCAAGAGTCCCAACGAGTACATATTCACGGAAGCTCCACGCACCGCAGCCACAACCACCGAGAAGAAATCTGCCGCAACTGCACAGCCCTCAGAAAATTCTTTAGTGCACTACAAAAACAACGCCAGTCCAACGAACGAGCTCAAGCGAAAAACGTCCACGTCGTCCACAACGATGAAAAAGTATTACGTCTCTCCGAAGCCTCAAAAGGTTAAGAAACATCAGTCTAATGCGCCGCATAAGTATAGAAAAGAACCAGCATTAATTAAACATCGTAAAGTGGATGGGAGAAAAACGACAGCAAAACATGAAATAGACGATGCGCTTCTGATGGCCGACACCTTTGGATCTCTATACGTCGCCGATAAAAAGCACGGCGTTACCAGTAGGAATTATAGAACAATATTCGATTCGGACGATCAGTTAAATTCGTTCGCAACTATCCCCAATAACATGAATGATCTTCTTCGCATTTATCAAACTCCAATCACCGAGAACAAACCTCACGAAATAGATAAGCTGAAAGATTTATCAATTACATCGCATCAAGTTTCAAGTACAAAATCGGGAAACAATAATGTTCTTAAGGAAAACGCCCGTAAACAGTCGTTTTCCTCTACAGAAACGGCAGTCCATACCACCAATCCTTACTCGTGGGAAAACGATATTTTAAAGGCAGCCAAGATCAAATTTAAGAAAAACGCTGTACTATCCCCCACTGACTCGATGCAAAATGAGCAGTCGCATGAAATGGAGAGCATTGATAACAGGCTTCCTATGGATAATCAAGCTCGAAAACAACCTAAATCTATATCCCAAATTGTAAACCCTCAGAAGATACAAAAATCCAACAATCCATTGATGCTTATGTCACCTGCGAAATTCGTTCCAAATAAAAATGACTTGCATCCGCAAAAGTCCCAGAAGGTTCTAATTCAAAAGCATTTTGTCGAAAGTAAAGAGATGCCGCAAAAATCGCAGGCACACGTGAATAAGAATAAACCTAAGCGAGTCAATCAGAATTTAATTTCGGGTAAACATAAATTGGAAATCCAGAATATTGCCGCATCTCCAAGATCCTTTATAGACCAAGATTTGCATGTCAACAACGGTCCTCCGGTGGAAGCTCAGGTCCGAGATATTCAAACTACCATGGAGTCAACGGAACCCGAGAACACCACGATTTCTATACCATTCATTTTCACGAAAAGCATTTCAGAGATTCATGAAGGAACGGGTAATAGTACTACGGAAGTGACGAATACGGGTGTACAAACTACAGTTTCTTTGGTAGTGAATTCTGTTTCATCGACTGAAAAACCAAAAGATGCTGAAGTTAATTCTAATGAGACCACGATTGTATCTTCGGATGCAATCCGAGCGCCAACAGATGCAACGGCTAACTCAGATTCCGCGCAGAAAGATGAACTAGACTGCGATAAACTTTTGGAAAACGAAACAAATCTGTTTAACAAGGCTCTTGACTGCGATAAGGAAATGGAAGATGATGATAAAGGTACTGGAGGTTTTGATATTCCTACTAAAGAGGACGCCGAGAAGTTTTTGAAAATGAATTTACGTAACACTAATTCAACCGATGTAAATGACAATTCCACTGATGAGAATACGCTTGCTAATAACGAGACTAATAGCACTATTAAATCTGATTCTCAAAATAACAATAGCACCGAGCAAAATGTTCAAAATGACGGATGCGATAGTCATGATGACGAAGAGAGCGAATCCTCTTGTGATGAAGGAAATGGTGAAGCACCGCACGTTCCGCCAAACTGCGTTGATAATAAAAAGAAACCAAAGAAGATTAAACCGAACCATCGTCCTCGGAGACAGGCTCTTCCAAGCACAACCGTCCAATACACCCTCATAAAAATACCAAGTGCAAATATTCCCGTTCTACCGCAAGCTCAGCAGCAGCCACAGAACAAACAAATAAGAGCCATCGAACCCACTGTGAGCATTCTTCCACCTATATCTCCAGTAACCAATTCAGCTCAAACCAACAATAGTATAATAGCGAAGAAGTCTTTGGACAAAAACGTTATAGATACGGTCATTGAAAATTTGAAAACTGTTGATCAAAAGTTGGCCGAAGCCGTGGAACCTTTACATTCAGCGCAGGAATCGTTAGATTCAGTGACCAAGTGCGAATCGACAACAGCATCGTGTGAGAATCCAGGTGGTATGAATCGAGCGGCAAATGGTGCTGGTGAAAATAATGTGTTGGCGGATATTAGTGATGCCGAACGGACGGCCCTCCAAAAACTTGCTCATAAAATTATAAACTCTAGTGGGTCCCCTAAATTCAAGCGTTCAGGTTCAAAAACTACTTCAGACCATAAACAACATAAAAAACCTTCCGGAGATACATCTAAAATAGCGGAAACCAAGAAATCGATAGAAAATTTTGAAGATTATTACGATGCGGACGATTTAAATGAGGAAATGAAACGACTGCAGAGAGATCTGACAATCGCCAATGAACTGGAATCGATAATGAGACATATCGAGGATGATAATACTAAACACGATATTAAAACACGTAATAAGCGAGACAACGTTAAAATGGATGTTCCTGAAAATGAGGTGGACGTTGACGATGATCCTGTATTGACAAGATCGGATCAGGTTCGTCACAATAGCTTTAAAAATACCAAACAGAAGAAGGAATACACTGGACTCTTTATTCCCGGTGACAATGAAGAAGGCTTGGTGAATGCGTATAAAAAGCAGAGTAAGGTGAAAAAAAAGAGGAAAAAGAAAAAGGGTAGCATTTGGAGGAGGCTATTCGGGAAACGGGACCCCGAAGAGGAGAATCGTTTTTTAAACCAGGGCCCTCAAAATTCACAGTACGTCCGACCATAGTTTATGGTAAACCCAAGCGTTCGGCCCACATAAATATATTTAAGTATATGCGACGTAAAAATAGGGGAAGATACGGTCGAATACATCGGCCGCGTCACAAAAGAGGATTCTTTTCGAAATTGCTAGGCAAATCTGTTAAGAAGAATGCCGAAGTCGATTATGATGAGAACGATTTCAGTTTCGGCGAAAAAACAACATTCTTTATTACAAATAAGCCAGGAATGGGATCCATAGATTCGTTGGATAAAATTTTGAATGAAACTGGGGATTCTATGAAATCGAGTTTCTTCATTACAAATAAACCAGGAATGGAAACGGATTCGTTGGATAAACTATTGAACGAGACTGGGGATTCTATGAAGTCGAGTTTCTTCATTACAAATAAACCAGGAATGGAAACAGATTCGTTGGAAAAACTATTAAACGAGACTGGGGATTCTATGAAATCGAGTTTCTTCATTACAAATAAACCAGGAATGGAAACGGATTCGCTGGAAAAACTGTTGAATGAAACTGGAGATTCGATGAAGTCCAGTTTCTTTATAACCAACAATCCTGGTAACCATGCAGATTCTTTGGAACAAGTGTTAAATGAAACAGGGGATTCCATGAAATCAAGTTTTTTCATAACTAATAAGCCTGGAAGTCAAACTGATTCTTTGGAACAAGTATTAAACGAAACAGGAGGTTCTTTAAAATCAAGTTTCTTCATCACCAATAAACCTGGGATGGAAACTGATTCATTGGAGAAATTGTTAAATGATACTGGAGGTTCTATGAAGACAACTTTCTTTATAACAAATAAACCTGGAATGCAAAGCGATTCTCTAGGACAACTCATAAATGAAACAGGGAATGGTGCAAAATCTTCTTTTTTTATAACAACCAATCAACCAGGCAATCACACAGACTCTATGAATAAAGTGATGGACGAGACTGGAGATTCTGCAAAATCAACTTTCTTCATCTCCTCTACATCTGGAATAGAAGTAGGAACAGTATTAAATGAAACCAACAGCGATTCTGGAAAATCAACTTTCTTTATCACGCAAAAACCTGGAAACGTGACGGATTCGTTGAATAATATTTTAAATGATACCGTAAATCAGGAAAAAACTACTTTCTTCATCACCGCGCAACCTCAGGTAAGTAACTTGGATGAAATTTTAAATGAAACAGGTAGCTTGGGGAAATCCAGTTTCTTCATCACGAATCAACCTTTGAATATTACCACGATATCTTCAGGCGATTTAAATATAGGGAACGACACGTCTAATGGTGCAGTACCAGAAGGTTCCGTAAGTAATCCTCAACCTACAAATCAAAAATCTTCCTACCTTAATAGCGAAGTCGAGCCTGGGAATGATGTGCAGGAAACAAGTTTATCAAACGTAATTAGTGAAACTAGTGCTTCTATTAGTGTAACAATAGCTAGCACAAGACCTGCCGATCAAATAATACAAAGCCAAGTACAAGATACAGAATCCAATGGTCAGGTTAAAGATGTAGACTCCACCATACCCAATACTGAAATGACCGTTAAACCTTCGGAATCATTAGAAATTACACAAACGACAATCATTGACCAGAATAATCAGGTGGTATCAAATGGACCAATAATAACCAAACCACCAGAGTTTTCAGAAGTAGAAACCACAATTTCTCTTGATGTAATAACTCAAGGCACTAATGCTGAACTACAAAATCAAGTAAAGACAGAACATAGTTTAACTGATTCCGCAATAGAATCCAAACATTTAGAATCTTTGGAAGAAGCGAAAACTGTGACTTTCCAAAATACTATGAGTCAAGTAACGAACGAAACAAGTATAAATCATAGTGAAATAACAACCAATCCTTTGATTACGAATTCGCCTGATCTTATAACTCAAGGAACTGTTGCTCAGACCGTACCAGAATCTAACAATCATTTTGAAGAAGCTACCAACATCCCGGATATTACAAATCAAGGTCAAATAACCGAGTCAGTCACCATTTTAAGTAACGACAAGCATAATATGACGATTCCATTCATCACGCAATCTCCAATACTGGAAAACGATTCATTGGACATGAACGATAATAATTTTACAACTCCTCTACCATTTTTCGTAAAACCCATATCTTCCTCAGAAATAAAGGCCAATGCTGCTAACCAAACTAATATGGAAATGTCCAATAAATCGAAAACTGAAGAGGTGGTTGTATCTCCCAATGAAAATGCATCAGAAATAACCACACAATCTTCCGATATTATATCATCTGATCACAGTACACAAACATTGAAGCAAAATACGGATGTTAAAGTATCAGAAATAGAACAATTAATACCGAATTCTACATCAACGACTAAAGAAAATGCAGAAAGTGATGCTCATGTTATTGAAAATTCTACACCAAATATTGCACAATCTCAGGAACTAACACCTAATCCATATGATAGTAATTTAGACCATTCTGCCGAGGAAAGTTCAACGCATGCAACTGAACAAAGCGTAACTCAAGCACCTGAAGAGAGCATGACACAATTATCCGAAGAAAACAATTCTCAATCAACTAACGGAAACGTAATGCATTCATCTGAAGAAAATAATACATCTATTTCCGAGGAAAACACTACTCAGGCATCTAATGAGATTACTATTGAAACAACTATAGATGGTTCTGCACATTTAACCGAGGAGAACGTTAGTAACTCATCGGAAGAAAACAAAACACATTTAATTGAAAGCAGTACACTTTTGTCAGAAGAAAATACTCTTGTAAAAGAAGAAGAAGAGAACGACTTTGAATTATCCGGTAAAGGAAAAAATGCACACTTGAATGAAGAAACTTCTGTACATTCTACCGGGGAAAGCACTGTGCATGAAGAACAAACTACGCACTCAGATGAAAATACAACTCATGTGGATAATAGTGTAGCAACGACGGTAGCTTCAACTGAAAAAATCAGTAATGCATCGTCAGAAGAAAATTCTAATCAAGAAACAACTGTTGAAAGTTCTGTTCAATCATCCGATGAAAATATATCATCGCCAGAAACTACAACTGTTATATTAGAAGAAGGCCATAAACAATCAACTGACGAATTAAGTACTCATGTAAATGGGGAAAGTTCATCTCAGTCACTTAGTGTAGCAAATCAAAGCACGTTAGGCACGGAAGACCAGTTTAAAGCATCGATTGGTAAAGTGCAACCATTCTTACAAGACAAATATAGCGATGAAATGTCGCAAAGCACAACTCCAATTTACATTTTGAAAGATTTCATGGGAACAACAGAAGCTAATGGAAGCACAACACAAGCATTACCAATACCAATACCATCTGTCTCTGCCAGTTATGCTGTTGACAAAGGACAGCATATAGATGTCACTCTATCTAAAGACAATGAAATCTTCCAGGGATCAACTGTAAATATTGAGCATAATATAAATGTCACAGAGCATGCTGTAACTGATGAGTTTGGACCAGTTCATACCATAACATTGATGCCGGAAAAAACCATCGAAGTCAGAGCAACTACTAAATCTACAGATTCTGAATATGATGAAATAACAAATCCTTTAGATACATCAGATACCACCAACAAAAATACTAATGAAATAGAAGAAGACAACAAAACAGAACTGCTTACAGAGGAGGATGTAACAACAATTTCATCTGAAATAGTGAACAGTGAGAGTTCAGAGGATGTGACGACATTAAGTACAGGGACAGAAGGAAGTGAGCGCGGTACGGTGGAAATAACTACAACAGAAAATGACGAAGACGACGACGATGAAAATTCGTTTGAGGATTCTTTTACTCAGAAGAATACTGAACAATTTATCAATAATATATTAAATGAAGATGATGATGAATTGGAAGGTAGTACGACTGGTGGAGTCCAAAATATGACTACTGATGCTTCCCAAAGTGAAAATCCAGTGGAATCTTCTACGGAAATTGATGAAAAAACTACAACGACGTCATTGCAAATTGAAAGTAACGTATCGGCATCATCAATACACGAAGATGTATTAGATTCGCATGAAAAACATCACACAGACATTACACAGAATGATAGCACAATTTCTCACGAAATATCTAATTCCAAGGATCTTGATGATTCTACCAGTCATAGAAGTACGAGTGCTCACGAAGAATCCAGTTCAAATCATACTACTCATGAAAATATTTTGCACGAAGTCACGACTGATCATACTTCTATTCACACAATAGTCTCTAGCCAACAAAGTTCAGAAAATTCAATTGAATCAGAAAAAACAAGTCAAGAACATATAGATACTAATAGCATAGACACACAAACACACAATAGTGGTAAAACGGAAATAGTTGAAACTAATTCTGAGCATATGATAACACCAAGTTCTCATGAAACTTCTTCAACGGTGGAACGACCTAAAGAAACCATACAACAACCACTATCTGAAATTAGTTCAATAAACATTGCAAAGACATCACATATTCCATCATCAACTTCTGTGTCAACATTACAAGCATCAAATCGATTACACGAGGTAAAAGGTGGTAGTAATACACAATTCGATACTGCTGAAGACTTATCTCAGTTAACAACTGAAGGAACAACGATTGATAACATAATTGTTACTATAGAATCGTTGTTACATATATTCTCTACAACGCCGCCACCGTTAGAAAATCTTGAAACACCAAACTTTAATATGAATTTCATTCCCAGTACACTTGACATTAATAAATTTACAAGTGCGGACAGCACTGGTAGTAATTATGAAAAAGAAAAAGGTCATGCAGAAGGGAGCACACATTCAAATGCGAAAAATCATAATACTCAGGATTCTGTCGAAGACGCTACTTGCATCCTATGCAATGTAACCAAGCCAATATCTTCACATACAAAAACGACAGCATCACATGTAAAATCTACCAGTGAAACTACAACAGAACAACATAAAACAACTAAAAGTACAACATTGATAGAAATAGCTTCAACTTCAGTATATTCTTTTACAAGTGCCGACAGCACTGGTAGTAATTATGAAAAAGAGAAAAGCCATGCAGAAGCGAGCACACATTCAAATGCGAAAAATCATAAAACTCAGGATTCTGTCGAAGACAATACTTGCATCCTATGCAATGTAACCAAGCCAATATCTTCACATACAAAAACGACTGCATCAAATATAAAATCTACCAGTGCAACTACAACCGAACAACTTAAAACAACTAGAAGTACAACATTGTTAGATATTTCTGCAACCACAGTATATTCTTTTGAAGAAAAGATGAATCAAGTTTCTACAACCGCAAAACCTTCTCCTAGAACATCTACAACCGAGAAAGCTCAGCACCAAAGTAGCACAGAATTTATGTGTGAAATTTGTAATGTTACGAAGTCACTGAAATCATCTACAGGTGAGAAAATAACGGTAATACTTGATATCATAACTGCACTAACAATTTATGAACTATTGTTATCACTATAGTATCTACCGAATCGTCCACGAAATCATCATCAAAAGAAACTGAAAAATGGACGACATCATCAGCAATTAAAGAGTCACAACAAACAAGTGAAGCAACGACTACCTCTACTAGTTTATCTGAACTTATAACAACAGCAGAAACTACAATATCCTCGCAAAGTGAATCAAAACATCAAGAATTAGATGAAACCCATGAGAAAGATAACCAAAAATCAGATAAAACTAATTTCAACAACAATAAATATGGAGAAAATGATGATGTAACTACAATTGTCAGCACGAAAAGTACGATAGAACCATCTACTGTTCAAAGTTCAAGTGTGAATTCAGATATTATATCTGAAGAACATACCATTCATGGAGCTAATGATCATACAGAGCAAAAAGAAAATGAAAATCAGGAACACGAAGAAAATTCAGACGATCGTCAAAAGGAGAGCATGAAGCCTATTACGCATTCAACATTACATCCGTCAAGTGTTCACGAAGAATACGTTACAGACGATGGTAATAAGCAAGAAGAGTTTAAATCTGAACAACATACAAATCACGACTATGATAATACGACAATAGAACAATCTGAACACAAAACCCAAGAACAAAATGAACATGACAAGAATGAAGAACCTAGCACACATAGCTCTACTGAACAGGAACATAAATCTGAAGAACAAACTGAGCATATAACACATGAACAAATGAAAGAACATGAGCATAAAGAACATGAGGAGAAGGAAGAACCTGGTTTACATCAGACAACTGAAAAAGAAGAACATGAAACCGAAGAACAAGCTGAGCATGTAACACATCAAGAAAACAAGGAACATAAAGAACATGAAGAGAAGGAAGAATCTGTCCCACATCACCCAACTGAACAAGAAGAACATAAATCCGAAGAACAAACTGAGCATGTAACACATGAGGAAAACAAGGAACATGAGCATGAAGTACATAAAGAAAAGGAAGAATCTAGTACACATAGCTCAACTGAAGAAGAACATAAAGAACATGAAGAGAATGAAAAACCTGATTCACATCACTTAACTGAACAAGATGAGCATAAGTCTGATGAACAAACTGAGCACGTAACACATGAACAAACAAAGGAGCGCGAGCATGAAGAACATACAGATCATGGCAACAAGGAAGAACATGCCTCACATCATCTAACTGAACAAGGGGATCATAAATCTGAAGAACATACAGAACATGAATTAAAGGAAAAACCTGGTTCACACCATCTAACTGAACAAGGAGACCATAAGGCTGAAGAACATACTGAGAACGTCACACATGAACAAACCAAAGAATATGAGCATGAAGGTGATACGAAACATAAATCCGAAGAACAAACTGAACATGTAACACATGAGGGAAACAAGGAACATGAGCATGAAGAGCAGACAAAACATGAAGAGAAGGAACAACCTGGACCACATCACCCAACTGAAAAAGAAGAACAAACTGCTCACATAACACATGAACAAAGCAAAGAACATACAGAACATGAAGAGAAAGAAGAGCCTGGCTCACATCACCCAAGTGAACAAGAAGAGCATAAGCCTGAAGAACACACTGAGCAAGTAACACATGAACAACCAAAAGAACATGAGCATGAAGAACACACAGATCATGAAGATAGAGAAGAACTTAGCTCACATCACCCTAATGAACAAGAAGAACATAAATCCGAAGAACATACTCAGCATGTAACACATGAAGTAAACATGGAACATGAACATGAAGAACATACACAACATGAAGAAAAGGAAGAATCTCGCTCACATCACCAAGAAGAACATAAATCCGAAGAACAAACTGAGCACGTTACACATGAAGAAAGCAAGGAACATGAGCATAAAGAACATACAAAACAAGAAGAAAAGGAAGATAAAGGTTCACATCACCTAACTGAACAAGAAGAGCATAAATCTGAAGAACACACTGAGCACGTAACAAATGAGCAAACTAAGGAAAAAGAGCATGAAGAACATACAGAACACGAAGAACATCAAGGTAGCGCAGAGCATGGGCCTCATACTCAATCTACGGTAGCACCATCTACTGTTCATGAAATATATATTTCTGAAGACAATACAGAACATGGCACTAATGAAAATACAGAAAATCCTGTTGAGTATACAAAATATGAAGGGAAGGAAAAATCAGGGTCTCATCATCCAACTGAACACGAAGAATCAAAATCTGAAGAACAGACTGAGAACGTAACACACAATGAAATCAAGGAACATGAGCATGAAGAACATAAAGAAAAAGAAGAATCTAGTTCACATCACCCAACTGTACAAAAAGAACATACAGAATATGAGGATAAAGAAGAACCTGGCTCACATCATCCAACTGAACAAGAAGAACATAAATCCGAAGAACAAACTGAGCACGTGACACATGAGGAAAACAAAGAACATGAGCATGAAGAACATGCAGAACATGAAGAGAAGGAAGAATCTGTCTCACATCACCCAACTGAGCAAGAAGAACATAAATCCGAAGAACATACTGAGCATGTAACAGATGAGGAAACCAAGAAACATGAGCATGAAGAAAATACAGAACATAAAGAAAATGAAGAATCTAGCTCACATAACACAACTATACAAACAGAACATACAGAACATGAAGAGAAAGAATTACCTGGCTCACATCATCCAACTGAACAAGAAGAACATAAATCCGAAGAACAGACTGAGCATGTAACACATGAGGAAAACAAAGCATATGAGCATGAAGAACATACGGAACATAAAGAAAAAGAAGAATCTAGCTCACATCACCCAACTGAACAAGAAGAACATACAGAACATGAAGAAAAAGAAGAACCTGGCTCACAGCTCCCAAATGAACAAGAACATATAACCAAAGAACAGACTGAGCATGTAACACACGAGGAAAACAAAGAACATGATCATGAACAACATACAGAACATGAAGAGAAGGAAGAACCCGGCTCACAACACCCAACTGAACAAGAAGAACATAAATCTGAAGAACAGACTGAGCATGAAACACATGAGGAAATTAAGGAACATGAGCATGAAGAACATACAGAACAAAAAGAAAAGGAAGAATCTAGCTCACATCACCCAACTGAACAAGAAGAACATAAATCCGAAGAACAAACTGAGCACAAAACACATGAGGAAAACAAAGAACATGAGCATGAAGAACATACAGAACATGAAGAAACGAAAGAACCTGGCTCACATAACCCAACTGAACAAGAAGAACACAAATCCGAAGAAAAAAATGACCATGTAACACATGAGGACAACAAAGAACATGAGGATGAAGAACATGAAGAGAAGGAAGAATCTGTCTCACATCAACCAACTGAGCAAGAAGAACATAAATCCGAAGAACATACTGAGCATGTAACACATGAGGAAAACAAGGTATTCTTCCTTCTCTTTATGTTCTGTATGTTCTTCATGCTCATGTTCCATCTGTTCCTCATGTGTTACATGCTCAGTTTGTTCTTCGGATTTATGTTCTTCTTGTTCAGTTGGGTGATGTGAGCCAGGCTCTTCTTTCTCTTCATGTTCTGTATGTTCTTTGCTTTGTTCATGGGTGATGTGAACTTGATTCTTCCTTTTCTTTCTGTTCTGTATGTTCTTCATGCTCATGGTCCATCTTTTCCTCATGTGTTACATGGTCAGTATGTTCTTCGGATTTATGTTCTTCTTGTCCAGTTGGGTGATGTGAGCTAGATTCTTCCTTCTCTTTATGTTCTGTATGTTCTTTATGCTCATGTTCCTTGCTTTCTTCATGTGTAACGTGCTCAGTTTTTTCTTCGGATTTATGTTCTTCTTGTTCAGTTGGATGATGTGAGCCAGGTTCTTCTTTTTCTTCATGTTCTGTATGTTCTTCTTGTTCAGTTGGGTGATGTGAGCTAGATTCTTCCTTCTCTTTATGTTCTGTATGTTCTTCATGCTCAAGTT